GGGCGCTCCCACAGGAGCCTGCGGTCATCAGCTCTCCGCCGAGGTCTTGTCCCCAGCGCAGCTCATGGAGGAGATCCACAGCATCCCCTCGGGAGCGCAGCGCTGACCCCAGGCGGAGGGTGAGTTTGGTTGGGAGGCTGAGCTACGAGAGCCTGAGAGGGAAGCAGCCGGTGCCGTAGGGGTGGGGATGATCTGATGAGGGTTTGGCCAGAGACATGGAGGGGATGTGGGCTGTGAAGCGTGTGCTGCAGAGGTGCAGGGTCCTTTGAGGGAGGCTGCCCATGGGCAACAGAGGAAAACGGCTCTCGGCACAGTGTGAATGTTTGCTCAGGTACAAACCCAACCCAGGGAGCCCCTTCTTGTGTCTTGTATGTTTACCTTCCCCTCACACTTTCTCCTCCTTATAAGAGGTGGCTTGGATCGGATGTGCTGTACCATCCTCGTAACTCTTGGGATACTTCACTAAGTGCCCCTTCGCTGCTGCTGTGAAAGGTGATGCTCCTTGTTTCACCAGGCAGCTCTGCACCGGCTTATTCTGCCGCAGGATTAGGGGGTTGTGGTTGACTTATACCCAACCAAAAACCGACTTGTTATCAGACAATTCAGCTGATTGAGCTGGAAACCCAGTTTGGGAAGGGTATGAGAAGGAGGAAGGCAAGGGCCAACCCTTTCTGCACATACGCAGGTTGAGATCGGCTAAAACCCATCCCAGAACAGCACCAGCAGCGCCTCTCCCCATGCCTATGGCATCAGGCGAGGAGAAATTTGCTGCATCTCAGCTCAGAGCAGCTCCTGCTGCTGCACATTGCTTTTTGCTGCTTTTTGCTGCTTTTTGCCTGCCCTTTAAACTCTTGAAGGAAGCCTGTAAAGTTACTCTTGTTCAAACAAAGCTCCATCCATTAAATCTAGGCAGTAAAAGGATCACCCCAACGGTCTGTGCTGCTTGAGCTCGGCATGTTCCTCCTGCCCTAAAGCAGCAGTTTGTGAAAGGGGGTCGGGCCTGATGCCCCCAGGGAGAAAGGGAGCAGCTGCTGTGCTCAGAGCAGGTTCAGAACAGAGCTGGCATTGGCCGTTTTGGGGGGGAAAGTTCATAAACATCTTCTGTAAAGACTTCCCTGGATTTTAAAGTGGATGCCAGGCCAGTGGCACCCATACGGGAGAGGATGACTTCCTCTGGGACTCACCATAATGCCAAACAAACCCCTCTACAGAGTTAGGCACTGGAACCTTTTGCACTTTCACTGAAGGCTGAGGTAAAGATCCTTACTGAGGCTGAGATTTTGGGAAGCCTGGGTCCATGGTATGGGTAGAAGTGAGAGCAAAAAGTGAGGCTTGCATTGGCCGGGAATCGAACCCGGGCCTCCCGCGTGGCAGGCGAGAATTCTACCACTGAACCACCAATGCTCCAGCTGCTCATCTTTCTTCCTGCACAGCTGCCTACACTGCTGTGTGCACCGCTGCCTGCACTGCTGTGTGCACCGCTGTGTGCACAGCTGCCTGCACCACTGTGTGCACCGCTGCCTGCACCGCTGCCTGCACCACGGTGTGCACCACTGCCTGCAGCGCTGCCTGCACCCCCCTGTGCCACGCGCAG